CCCGAGTTCCACACAAACTCCCCGCCAAGGATCATACTACGATCCCCGCTCGACCTACCATCAAACCCCTCCGAGTCCCACCCCGATCTCATACAACGATGGCCACCAAGGAGCATACTATGATTCCCGCCCGGTCTACCCCCCATCTCCCCGCCAAGGAGGTTATTACGATTCCCGCTCGGTCTACCCCCCATCTCCCTGCCAAGGAGGTTACTATGATTCCCGTCCGGTCTACCCCCCATCTCCCCGCCATACATCATCGGGTACTTGGCATGATGGTTCCTCCACGACGGCGCACCACGATTTTGCGCCATTGACTCGCCCTCATCAGCAGTGGCCTCCTACTCCTCACCGTATGAGCGTGGATGTCCCCCGCTCGACCCCGGAAGTGCCGATTCCCCGCCGACACAGCACCGACGAGCGCCAAACTACCTCGGCCCGAGTTCGAAACTTGCCACCGCAACCACCTGTTGTTACTCCCGTCGGTCGTCATACAAGGAGCGAGAAAAGCGTTGGTTTCGGTGAAGCTCGTGGACTTTCTTTAGTTATATTTTGAGTTGAATTTAATTTCTATGTACTTGGAACTATTCCTATTCTCTTAATTTATCGAATTGATTGTTGTTTCAATTTGGTTTTTATTTCAATGAACAAAGAACTATTCCTATTATCTTAGTTTATCGAATTGATTGTTGTTTCAATTTGGTTTTTATTTCAATGAACAAAGAACTATTCATATTATCTTAGTTTATTTAATTGAGTGTTGCTTCAATTTGGTTTTATTTCTATCCCCTTGGAACTAATAATCCCAATTCGTTCAATCAACAATACAGTGGAGAGAAGAGATTGGATTGAAAATAGAGGAGAAATAAAAATTATGAGATGTTGATAGACCGTTAATTACACATGTTTTTACCCCTATTCTTGAGTCGTTTGAGATGTTGATTCTCGTGTTTTAGGCCGATTTCACGCTAGGTTGTGCTTGTTTGTGATATTTCAGGTCCTAGTACATTAATGAAGGTTTGGGAACGAGTTCGGTGTCGATTGGACGAAGTTTGGACGTTTGGCGAGAAGCTGAGAAGGCACACGGGCACCATTGCACCTCACACGGCCGTGTAGGGGCCCCTTGTGGTCGTGTGAAGGCTCGGTAAAAGCCACACGGGCAGCCTGGGGAGCCAACGGCCATGTGGCCTCTGCCCGTGCAGCTTGCCTGGTTGCCCACTAATCGAAACGCCACGTTTGGACACTCACAAGGGCAGCTGGGAAAGTCACGCGGCCATGTGGCCTGGCCGTGTGATTCGGAAAATTCTGGGTTTTAACCCAAATTCGACCCAAAGAACGATAAAAGCAACAATATACAATACACATTACACATTTCGTTCAATCAACAATACACAATTACTTGCAAAGTAAGAGTCTCAACTAGCTTGAAAAAAAATTATAAAAGCAAACTATGTCGCATTAGCTGAGTCCGGCACATCAGCACCCGGATTTTGCGGACCAATCGGTCCTGGACACCTTCGTTTATCATGTCCTGGAACTTTGCATATTGAACATTGTCTTTGGCCTCGTGGTGGTCTTCCACTTTGATCCATTTCATTATGAATTCTCTTTTTCCTCGGGCGACCCGGTTCACGCCTCTGTCCGAACGGCGGGATGATCAATTTTCCTTCGTACATCGGCCAATAAGATTCATCAGGCAATGCACGGAAACTCCGTCCATTGGTGTTTTTGAGTGAGTCGATATTGAAGAATGGACTAACGAAGTGACGGGGGTCTTTGCTCCTGGTTTTAATTACGGCCATTGCATGAGAACAAGGCCACCCTCTCCCCTGATACTTCTGGCATGAGCACTCACCAACTTTTGTCCTGAAATTGACTAAAACTTCATGGCGGTGGCCCCCCCGTCTACCATCCTCCCGATGTCCGGTCGTCACGCTATACTCGCCATTTGCCCGATTCATAACGGTTACACTATGTCGACTGCTCTTGCGATTGTCATTCTCCATTACTTCCATGACTTTATAGGCATGGACCTTACCCTGTTCCTCGTTCGTTTTTGCCCAGTGGAGTTGGTTGAAGAACCATGCATTCGTTTTCCAAAAAGTCATCTCCACAATGGCAGAGATTGGCAGTGCACGAACGGCCTTGTAGACAGAGTTGATAGTCTCACCTGAGTTCGTTGTGGCAATACCTCATCTTGTCCCTCCATCTTTATGAAATGTCCACATGGATAGGTCATGTCCATCCAGCCACTGTGCCCCTTCAGGGCATAACTCGCGCAACTTCTGCATCTTCTCCAGAAATTTTTTCTCTTGGTAGGCAACCGCTGAGGAAGACACAGAAAAGTAGTATGTTAGTCAATTTTCGGCAATTTAGTACAATTCGAACAACCCGCTTGTACTCTCGTTAGACTCTTAGGAAAGGTATACATCTCCTTAGAAACACAGCCTGTTTGACAGAAAAATGGGGGATCCGAAGATCGCTTAAAACCCGATTTTTCCAGGAAATGGGAGGATCATGATAATCGCTTAAAACCCCATTTCCTTAGGCATGCATCACTTTAGAAAGAGTCTAACAAGTGCACCACTCGCCAAATGTACTAAGATATTGTTAGCTGACAAAATTATACGGCTAATTACAAACTTACCAATCCACCACAAATTATCAGCAAGCTTCTTCCGCTTGAAATGATGGTTCCAGTTGCTCTTGAAGTGTCGTATGCACCACCTTTGGGACCACTTCCAGGCTGGATCTAAACCTAAGATGGCAGCTCTAAAGCCGGCGTGCTGATCAGAGATTATTGTCAGGTTCGTCCTCCTAGTGACGTGGAGCGGAATTAGCCGGAAAAACCATCCATAGCTATCAGCATTCTCTCCCTCAACGATGACGAAGGCTAAAGGAAAGACTTGTCTGTTTGCATCCGCCCCACTGGCAATCAGGAGAGTGCCCTTGTACTTGCCGGTAAGGAATGTACCATCCACTTGGATGACAGGGACACAGAAGCCAAAACCATCAATAGATGGCTTGAATGCCCAAAAGAGTCGTCTGAAATGGCGCTTGTTACCTGGCTCTGGGGGTTGTATCTCTTCATCTTGGTATCAAGGGGAGAAAACCGTACCAGGGTTAGACGCCTCCAATGCCAAAATTAACCTGGGAAGGAATGCATATGATTCTTCCCAATCACCAAAGACGGCGACCAGAGCTTTCTGCTTTCCATGCCACGCCTTCTTATAGTTAATCATATAACTATAACGACTTGCAATGTCAGCGATTATGACTTTCACCTTCAGGTCCGGATCTTGCTCAATTAGATGCTTGATACCCGCACCAACCACCCTGGATTTCAACTGTCAATGTCCTTGGGAAGTTATGGATGACACACATGTGTGTGTGTTCACCGCACGGAATATGACCCAGTGGTCGTGTCTCTTGCTGTTGATGGCCCGAATCCTAACATTGCACCCCTCGTGATGATTACGGCATCTGACTATGAGCCTTTTAGTGTTGGAATGAGTTGTGTGCCATTCAAAATGCCGAGTCATTGCTTCTGTCTCAATGGCGTGCCGCACCTCCTTCTTTGAGCCAAATTGTTTCCCATTCATAAACCCAGTGAGTGGACCCCATATTGGGACCTCTGGCGGCTCCATGTCGTTGTCGACCATCCAATTGTCGTCTGGAATGTGATTGTAGTAGGGGACTGGTACACGGTCACGAGCCACCTCATCATCATTAGCTGAGTCTGACTCTGGTCCTGAATCATCAGCACCTTCAAGAGGGTCGGAGCTGTTTGCACTAACGTTGTTCTCTCCTTCTTCATCGGAGGGGTCACTGACTGGTGCTGGCAGGGCATCCTCCATATGATCCAGCTCATGAAAGGCACCTTCATCAGCTCCATAATGGTAGTTGTGAAAACTACCGCTGTCTGAGTGGAAGTTGTACTGAGGTTGGTTGGGTAGGTCCGATTGAACTTCTTCTTCATATGACGGGAAAGATTGATGATGACCTTCACCTTGCTCTTGGTACTGAAAATATGAATGAGGATCATGGTAACTTTGGTAGGGATGATCACCATATAATTCACCTCCACCATGGATACCAGATGTTTGACCGTGTCCAGAATGACCTCCAACGCCTGCGACCGACTCGGTGTAAACGAACATCTCGGCTTTGGAAAGATTGTTGGACCTCATGAATTCGAGCATGGCATCTACCTCATCCTGAGTGGTTATGAGATATTCCTCATGCCACAATGACCCACTTTCTCTGTTTGGATATCGGTACACCATACGATCAACTCTTCTCGTGCCATCCATGCAAGTAACGTTAGTGCACATTTGATGGAGGTCTTCAAGCAGCGGTCTGGTAGCGACCTTTATCTTCTGAAAATTGCCACCTACGTAGGTGACCCCCTTTCCGGTCTCTTCCGTGTAACCATTCCACCGTAAGCAAAGCGTGAACTTTTGGAATGCCATCTGCGATAAAACCGTAGTTCAGTTAATATCATAAAAATCAAAAATAACAATAAAAAGTAATACTAAATAAACTTACAAGTTAACGTTAATCGCAAAACTACTAAAGAAATATAGAGCTACAACAGAAAATTGAAAAGGGAGAAGGAGAGGTGTGAAGAGAAGTGGTTATCCGGGAGGCCTTTTATAGGCAAAATCACTGATGAAAACCCATGCAGACCCACGTCTGTTACGTCTACATGGTATGTTGGAAATTGATTGACCAAAACCGCACCTCCAAAGTGCGGTTTGTATGGAAAAATCGCACCATGAGGGTGCAGTTTTGTTTGGGAGAAACAAACCGCACCTTCATGATGCGTTTTTAATAGGTCAGGCCAAAACCGCACCTCGGCCAAGCGGTTTTGTAGGTCAGACCTAAAACCGCTTGTCCAAAATGCGGTTTTGGTCCAGAAATAGGGAACGCATCTTAGAGGTGCGGTTTATGATCATCTTTAGTTGTCGGGGTATATAATCATCTTTTAGAAACCCTGAAATCGGCCGAATGGCCGCCTCACTCCCTCTCTCAACCCTTCCATCTCTCTCGTTCTCTCTTGTCTCTGCCTCCTCTGAGATGAGAAGAAGGAGAAGAAACTCTTCCTCTGAAACACTAGCAAACACCACAAAAGCAAAACCCACCTTCCTCTCCTTGATTCTGGAAACGACAAGAATAAAAACGAAAAGACATACAGCGGCGACGGTGACGATAGGGCATGTAGCAGTGACGGTGACGATAGGGCGTACGCCGCCGGCGAAGAAAACGACGACGACTAGGAGGGAAATCGAAGGTTCATTTTTTTAAAAATATTTTTCCTCTTTGCATGTCGATTTGGGGCTTATTTGTTGGTTTCACTTTTGTTTTATGATTCTGATCTAGGGTTTCGTTTTGGTTTGGTGCTATGGGAGTTTAAAAAAGGGGTCGCCGTCGAATCCGGTTCTCGCGGGCGGCAGCAGAGATAGAAGACACACCGTCACCAAATCACGAAAGAAAATGACTCTGGCTTCAACTAGACCGAGTATGGTTTCGTTCTAGGTTAGATTTTGGATTTCATGTGGGCCTTTTATTTTTGTTTAAAAACTGGATTCTGGTATTGTTACTTTTTACGTTTTGATTTGGGTTTTTCTATTGTTGGCTTCAGATCTGTTGCCGGGGAAATGGAGAGTCGCTGGTGACGAGGGTATTTTTCGCTGGCGGTGAAAGAAAATCGACCGTCAGAGGCAGTTGGGTAGGTTTGGTTTTTTGAGTTGTTTTTTGAGTTTTTATTTTTGAAGGATTCTGACTATCGATCCTGACTTATTAGAGGTTTAAGAGCATAGTGGTCTAGGTGAGGTCTCCTATAACTCTATTAATTTGGGAATTGAGAGATTTAAAACTAAAAGGTGGATTATACTACTATAGATCTAAATGATTTGTAGGTCTGAGTACTAGAAAATAAGGTTGTGAATTAGTTTAACTCTATGGAATTTTAGGGTTTTTAATGGGTTAGATGGATGGTTTCGGATGTAGCTTGATATGCTGAAAATTGATAAAAAAGGAGAAGGGGAAATTTTTTGTAGTAGAAAAGTAATTAACATGCTCTAAATCGCTAATTTTAGCGATAAAAATCACTGCTATTGCTTGTGATTTTGCTGAACTATGTCGCGGATTTTGAAAATCTGAAATTTATTGTGTTCAAGGTGTTTGTTATGAATTGTAATTTAGCTCCTACAAATTTCCACCACTGCTTGCCATTAGATTATGGTTGAATTGTGGATTTTGAAAATCCAAAATTTATGTAGTGGGTGATTTTCAGTGGATCTGGATCCAGGTTGATCCATGGACTTCTAAAAAGTGGTTTTTGCTTGTATCCAAAATATGCTATTAGTTGTACTTTAATTTGCTATCTATCCCTACAAATAGGGATATCTAAACACGACAGAAATTTAAAATAAAACATCTAAGGGCCCGTTTAGTATTGTTGCTTGTTTTTGTTTTCTGTTGTGTTTTATAAAATCGCAGAAATCGAGGAGAAAAAACATGTTTAGTTAGGTTTTTAATTTTTGTTGTGAAACAGAGTTACACAACCAGGCTCAAATAAGAGAAACAATAAATTATTGCTTTGGATTTGATTCGTACACATGTTTAACACGGGATTTCTGCTGGTTGTGTCTTTGATTTCATTAAACTAACCCCCAGTTCGAGTCCCTTCACATACGAAAATTTTGTTTATTTTTTTCAACCCCTCCACAAGGCCCCAACCCTACTCACCATTCAACCGTTCTATTATTTTTTCACCCACAAAAACTCGCCCGCCGCTGCTCATCCTCTTCCTCTCCGAGAGGAACGACGATCCCTTTGGCATCCCTGTCTTGCTGCCGCACCCGCCGCCAGCGCTCGTCCTTCAAGCTCTTCGCCCATCAGACCCCGTCGTCCGCTCGTTCCCCTGCCGCACCATCTCGTCGCTCGCCTCTTTGTAGGTTTCGTGAAACCCTGAAGTTTGGGACTTCACACTTCCTAGAAACAGTTTTTTTTCCGGGAATTCGCTTTTGATCATCGAATGAAGCATGGGATTTAGTTTGGTTATTTCCTTTAATTTCTTGAACTCGAACAGGGTATGCAGAATTTGGTCCATTCCCTTCACTTTTGCTCTTGGCGGAATTTTCAAGCCCCAGATAATTGTCAGCAAAGAATGCCATTTGCTCTTCCCAACCGAGGCCCAATTTTTCTGGGATTGTGATCATATTTAGTTACTAATAACAATTGTTTACTAGAAATTAGGTTGCTCGATTGATGTCAAGTATGCTAATTTTTTGTTTTTAGTTTTTACTGAGAAGTAATTAAACGCGTTTCTGTTTTTTGTTGTGAGTTTTTATAATTTCTCATATTTACCAACTAAACAGGTTTGAGTTGTTTGTTTTTTTCTTGTTGTAGTTGTGCATGTGTTTCACAACATCAATCCAACCACAACAACAGCAAAATAATACTACACGGGACCTAAGTTCATGGATATTGAAGTTAATCAGTCTATAGATTGGCACAATGGTAATAGCGCAGACAAAGTTAATGATACAAGGGAAAAAAACTTCAATGAAAGATCTTAACGAAACTTATATGAGCAGATCTTGGTAAATAGAGTGCTTTAATGTAAATGAGCTTGTAAAGTAAATTGCCTGAATATAAATAAGCAAGTAGATGGTACATTATAACATCATGATGATAGTATGAACTTGGCAAAAACTGAATAATATGTTATTAAGAAAATGGGTTAATTGTATGGTTGGTCACTGAGTTTACAAAAAACGTTCATGTTTGGTCACTCCAAATATTTAAATCCATTAGCGGTCACTCGAACTAGTAAAACGGTCCACGTTTAGTCACTCTCCGTTAGTCTCCGTTAATTTTCATTAACACCGTCAGTCAATTGCTGACGTGGCTAACAGAAGTGTTATCTAATCCAATTTTAACCCTCCACATCACCAAACCCGACCCGCCACATTGAGGAACATGTTCCCGGAGAGGTCGAGGAATTGGAGGTTGTGGAAGGAGCGAATCGATTTGGGGACCTGGCCGGCGAAGAAATTGTTGGAGAGGGAGAGTGTTTCCAGATTGGGGAAATGCTTCAAGAAATTCAGATCCCCAGACAATTTGTTGGAGGCGAGATTCAGAACGCGCAGTCGGAGGAGGAACGGAACGCCGGGGGACCTGAACTTTGCCCGTGAATCGATTGTTGGCGAGGTTGAGCATCGCGAGCTAGTACGGATTTTGTCAATGAGGCGGTTGTTGGGGAGGGAGACCTCCTTGAGCTCCGTCAGCCGACCAATTGTCGGAGAGTGACTGGGATTTGAAGACCAGCCTGGTGATTCAAAGCTCATAGGAGTGGTCGTTGGCGGCAGGAGAGATGCGACGCTCGCAGAAGAGGTCGTGGAGGTTGCAGGGGGAGACAGAGGTGTTGCATTGTTGAGCGTTGACTCCCAAGTCTCGGCCAATGACGGAGATGGCGCGGAGGTTGGAGTGGTTGAGATCGAGCCGTGCATTAACGACTAGGATGACAGAGGATCAGAAGTGAACGAGGAGGAGGAGTTGTTTGTGGGAAGAACTATTTGGTTGTGGGAGGGAACAAGGAATTGGGGGATGGAGGGATTTTTTGGGTTCGATTTTGGCTGGAGGGGATTGGAATTAATGATTGACAGGGGTTATCTGCGGCAAGGAGATGAGAATGGCGATGGATGAGGGAGGATGTAATTTTTGGAGGCAGTGAGCGATTGTCTGGCGACGGCGGTGGTTTTGGAGGCGGAGGATTGGGTCAAGATTGCGAAGGGTTGGGTTGGAGAGATGATGTGGCGCGTCGGGTTTGGTGATGTGGCGGGTTAAAATTGGGTGAGTCATCACTTCTGTTAGCCACGTCAGCTATTGACTGACGGTGTTAACGGAAACTGACGGAGACTAACGGGGAGTGACTAATCTTGAACCATTTAACTAATTCGAGTGACCACTAATGGATTTAAATATTTGGAGTGACCAAACATGAACGTTTTTTGTAAACTCAGTGACCAACCATGCAATTAACCCTTAAGAAAATGGAAGCCGCGTATGAGCACCAACCTGGTTGAAGTTTCTAGACCAGGCTGGTTTCTGTTTGATGGCGATGCTCCCTAGCTCACTGCCTCCTTGCACCCTTCTATCTTGCTGAGCTCATGTACTTAACTTAGTAACAAAGAAAAGTGGAAAAAAGAAAATTGTTTCTGATTATCTGTTTCTGTAAGCGTCTTCTCCCCTTTCTCCCCTAAAACACAGAGCCAAACAGCTCCTTTATAGGGAAAAGGACGTGTCACGTGTTGATTGCTCATTCGTCGATTTTGAGGTCAATTGTGAGACCTCCACCACACTTGGTCTGTCCTGACTGGTCAGGATCAGTTCTGGATAAGATTGTCACGTGAGTTTGGGCCGAGTTGGGAGAGTTGGTCCTGAATTTGTAGGCTGAGCTGGTCGTCGTTTGAGCTCAAAATGGGCTTTGTCTAGTCTTGCCCTTGGCCCGAACTGGGCTATGATATTGTGATTTTAACATGTGGACTTTGAATTCGAGTTTGGGTTTGATCTGACTGATTTTGTCTTTGTTTTTGCAGGTCAATGGCTGGTCTAGGCCTCAAAGCTTCAAGTGACGGGCCAGGCTTGTTTTAGTTGGAAAATAGACTATGCCAATTGTATCTAAGATTCTTTTATAGATCCCATGTGAAACCAAATTATTGTATTGCAGTTTCAAATTCTTCAATGATGCTTTGTAGTGCGCTTTCTTGATATCAAACTTGAATACTTCATCTCATTCGAACTCGAACCAAAATCATATTGTTGTCTAATTCGGGCTACCCTCTCCAATCCTTCAAATGTAGTTATGAAAGTTTTAGACCCGGACAAAATGTGGTGTCTACAGGTTACGATTTTAAAATTGTTCTCCTATTATAAGATAAACAAAAATAGAGTTAATTATTAAACTCAAATTGAAATAATCAAAATATGAAAATAGAAGTATCAAATACCAAAAAATATATTTACGGGAGAGTAAGTGAGTTAACTAACCATGGTGGAAAATTCCTATAATTTTTCAGATTTAAACTTCTTGTATGTTTTTAATTTAAAAAGATTATTTTTAGTGTAACTGGTTATATTTCTTGTCTTTTCTTAAAGAGACCACAATTTAAATCACATCAATGATGTATGTTTTTCTTATTAATAAGAAAATAATAAATGATTATGAAGACGAATCTTCCCTTCCTTCTTTCGCTATGGATGTAGGGATTTTGTAATAGGGAAAGCACATTTCCCATTTCACTATTATATCAGGTGTAGCGAAAGTAAGCGCGGTGATTGAGCGTTTAGTAGGATTGAGCTTGTTTTCATTTGTAGCGCCTTAACCGTCCGCGTTCGTCAAACCAACAAAACTCAATCTTTCCATATTTACCCCTCCAAAAATTGTTCTGGCGTGACAATAGAGGTGGAGAGGTTAGCCGGTTGCTGAGTTTGATGAGAAGTTTGGAGAGACGACAATGATTTAGCGATTAGTGGGTCGAGGCACTATTTGGGCCCGTTTACATGAGTGGTGCTTTTTCGATCCGCGTTCGACAAACCAACATCACTCAATCTTTCTATATTTATCTCTCTCTTAAAGACACATGTGTCACATATTCACTCAAAACTTCTGTAGTAAAAAAAATATCGTTGATTTATCATACTTATAAAAATTAAGTCTATGTTAATAATTTTACATAGCTTCGGCAGAGTCAAGAGTGCAATTCCATTCAACGGGAAAAAGAGTGCAATTTGATGTGAAATATATAAACAATGACATTTGGGTTACGATTTAAAATTATACTCCTTTTATAAAATAAACGGAAATTAAATTATTAAAATCAAATTGGAATTAACAAAATATGAAATTAGAAGTAGAAAATACCAAAAAAAATATTTACGGGAGAGTTAGCGGATTAGCTAACCGTGGTGGAAAAATCCTATGATTTTTTCAGATTTAACCTTCCCGGTTGCAGGTTTGGAGTTAGAGGTAAATTTGATATTAGTGTTATAGACTGAAATAACATCAATATGGTTTTGCACGGCAAGTACTGAAATAGCAAGTTGGACTTGCTACATGTTCTAAGTTGTTTACTGCCCTTAGGAGAATTTAGAGGCAGAGGAGATTCTGGTACATGTAGAGATTTGAAGAGTTTGGTACATCTAGCAATTTTAGTTACATTTAAGTTTGGCTATTTACATGACGTTTGTGTCTGACGATTTGGATTGCATCTGGGTGCATTTGGCAATTTAGGTTGCATCCGATACTACTGGTATTTCTGAGAGAATTCAAGTTAAGGGGGAGATTTGTTAGGATATCCTCGAATTGTTTGCGGCAAAATCCACTTCCATAGCCACAACTATCACGTTTGTGACAAATACAGCCACAACTTTCGAAATACACAAAATACCAAAAAATTGGATGGTAGTGTGACAAATCTAGCCATTTCCGTTACAAACTTTAACGCTGTTAGTAACGCCGTCAGTTATGTTAGCAATACACTGACTAGGACGCCAAATCAGCGCACACGTCATCAAAAAATCAACATCAAGTGACAAGTAGATTACACATCATATTTACTTAAAAATATTTAATTATAATATTTATCATATTTACTTTAAAATATTTAACTATAAGAAATAAAAATAAAAAATCAACTTCTTAACCCTTCCCCTTTGACTCGCTATGACACAACTCTTAACAAAGGCCAAGTGTAACCAATGAAAGGGACTGCAGTATAGTGGCTCAAGTAATAAATATCGAATCCACGCGTCTCTGGAGTTACTATTCCTCAGCTTCAGTTCATTATCTAGCAAACCAGATTAAGATAGAACAACTAAAACTACTCTAGCAAACTACAGTTAAAGTTAATCTAATTACAGGTTGGGAACTCACTTAGGTATGATTCCCCCTAGCCACTAGCCAGATTAATGATTGATGATCTCTACCCTGTTTCACTTTAATTCACAATGCCGAGAATCCTTAACTAGACCTAGAGTCTCGACTAAAGGAACAAGGACCTTTTGATTCAATTGCCTGGAGGGACATATCCTTCTCTAGAACAACCGATCAAGGTGTTCTGAACTAGATTCCCTCTATCGAATGAGGTATCAATCGATACAAAGCAGTGAATCGACCCTCGACTAAAGCAATCAATCCAATACTATTAATCTATGTGATAACGATGTATTTGCACATGTTTGCACCCTTAGTTCTTATCCATTTGCGACTCGTATTCGTGTAATTTTGGCCCGTTTTACGCTGGGTTGTGCTACTTTGTCATATTTCAGGTCCCATACGTCGAAGGAAATGCTAAGCACGAGATTCGGGGCGTTTGCAGGTCATTCGGTCGAGCTGGGGGCAAAACACGGGCAGGAGGCCTGAAGAACACGGTCGTGTACACGAACGAGCAAGCCAGTGTTTTTATGTGCGAGAGCTGAACTGATGGAAAAGCAAAACACGGGCTGGCCTAAAGAAAAATACGGCCGTGTTCCAGGCCGTGTTATTTATGTCGAGGCTTGATTGAAGGGAGCTGATGCGATGTCCAAAACACGGGCAGAAGCGAAGCAAAGCACGGCCGTGTCATTCTTTAGGCACGACCGTGTTTTGGCCGACGCGGGCGTGTTTTTAACACGTGACGAGGGCACGGACGGGCAAAATAAAAACACGGTCGTGCCCTCGACCGTGTTTTGCCCAGACTCGGGTTTTTGAGGAAGTTTGAAGTCAAAGGAATGGAAATCGAGTTTTTGAGCAAAAAATAGAGTCCTAGAGAGAGAAAGTGCAAAGAACACATCCTAGAGGTGATTTTGGAGTTGGGTTTTGTCAATCGAGCTTGGAGATCATCATAGGAGTGAAGATCATCATCCCAGAGCAGATTTTCCTCATCTTTATGAGTATGACTAATCGAGTTTTTGTTTGAAATCGCGATTTGAAAAAATGCAGAGGTGAGCTCGGCATAAAAAGAACGGGCACGAGGGGAGAAAAACACGGCCGTGTTTACTCCCCTGTTCGCCCGTGTTTTCAAAGTTTGCAGTTTGCCTTCTCAGCATTAAAAACATAGGCGCAAGGGTTCAAAAACAAGGCCATGTTTTGAACCCTACCTGCTCGTATTTTCAAAGGGGGGAGGCACGCCCTCGGCCTAAAAAAACGGGCGCGAAACACGGGAAACACGGTCGTGTTTTCGCCCGCCTGTGTTTTAATGGCCCCCCTATAAAAGTTGAATTTCGGCCTTCCCCCCCTTCAGACCTCATTTTTTCAAATCAGCAACCGCCTCCCTCGCCAGAAAATCGGCCCCTCAATATTCTCTGGTGGTTTTTCGGCCACAACTCCTTCTCCCGACCTCCAAATCACAAACCGCGACCGCCCCTACGCTCCTGGCATCGGGGAGTACATTCCCCAGAAGTTTGGTCTTGTTTGGCGGAGGTTGGGTCGCCGGCGGGTTTTCCGGCGACTTTGGAGTGTTTTTTCCCTTTTCTTCACCTGCCTTGTGGTATCTCCTTGTGTCTCCAGGTGTGTTTTCATGGTCTCTTATTTTATTTTTGGAGAATTGATACCTAGAGTTTAGGTGAAGAATTTGGGATTGTGGCATGCTTTTAGAATGATTTGGTAGGCCGATGCCGCTCTGTGCTTGTTATATTTTTGTCCCGGGACTTCATTTCATTGGCCTACCATTTGCATGTTGGAATTGTATGCGTGCTTGTGAGGCCTATCTGTGGTGAATGGCCGATTGGTGGATATTTGGGATCGAATTATGTGTTTGTGCACGGGGGGCCTAGTCCACTGCCCAAATCGCTCGATTTGAGGGCCCCCGGTGTGTTTGTTTGTGTGATTATGGTTGTGATTGGTATGCTTGTTCCACCGGGAGCCTATTCCACTGTCCATATCTTTCGATGTGAGGGCCCCCGGTGTGTTTTTCGCCTAACATTGACCCTGTTCGCTTGTGTGGCATTTGTACATCCTTTTGCTTTTCAAGATCATGGAGGCTTACCTCGACCAATTGAGCATTACGCAACGCCACCTGTTGCGGACCATCCATACCAATCTGAGCACCTGCATCTCGACTTTGGGGTGTTCGAGGCGCTTCATGCCCGGCCGCAGGTGGAGGGCGTTGTTCGCGCCTATGGTTGGCGGCGCCTTCTCTGCCTCGTCGTGCCGACCTACCAGGACCTCGTCTGGGAGTTCTACGCCTCATTTTCCCACTCCCAGAAGAGGTCGGCCGACCATGCTGATGCAGTACATTTTACACTCGGCGGGGTGGCGCACTCCATAAGTTACTGGGAATTAACCACTGCACTTAGGCTCAACTCCCCTCACCCCAGCGACCGCCCCTTGATCGTGGAGGTGACCGATCCCACCACATTTGGTAACCAGGCCTACTTCCAGCGCATCTGCCTATCGGATTATGCGGTTGAGCAGTACATCGCTAGCCAGACGTGGGCCACTCTCCTTCGTCCGGAGTGGTGGATCCTCAATCACCTGCTCACCCAGTCCTACACTCCCAGCCGGGGCTCAGTCAACCGGGTCACCCTCCGGACCCTATACTTCATGCACGCGATTGTTCGGCTGGAGGACACTATCGAGCTGGGCTTGGTGATCACCCGTACATTCACCAAGGCCTGTGCCAGCCAGGATCGCCACCTTGTCTGTGGCCCGGTGATCACCGCCCTAGCCCTCTACTTCGGGGTCGACACTATTGGGATGACCATGGTCCGCGCAGCGACCCCATTCAGTGAGGCCACCCTCTGACATCATCACATGCTTGTGCGTGAGGGACGTTTGGCATGGATTGTGGGTCTCCCTCGGCCGCTTGCACTGGTACCTGCCGGGGACGACCGACTAGAGTCGAGCGCTGCTGGGGGGCGCCGGGTCCCCCGCCGTTCTATTCGTCGTACCCAAGCCCCCGCGAGCCCCTCATCTGCTGCTCCCGGATCATCCACTCCCGCGGTCTCCATTGCTGACCAGTTGGTGGCCATTGCTTTGTAGAACGAGCCATTCTGGCCGGCTAGGAGATCCTTCACACCCTCCTCGATCGTGAGCGGGACCGCGGCCGTTGTCTTATGTCCGGCCAGCACTACATCATGTCTTACCTAGGCCTGAACCCGAACTCTGTCCACTACCCCTTCGTGTAGCACCGGGGTATGAGGACGAGTACCCCCACCCACCGGCGATGGTGGCGATGTGCTCTAGTGGCGAGTGGTTGGTTCCGTACTTCATTTCTTTTCTTGACCGAGACTCCATATTTTTTGTTGTTTCTTTCTATTTTGTTCTTTTGGATTGTAGACATGGAACTCCGGTTCTTTCACCCAGTGTGTGTCTATTGATGACTTTAGCTCTGTGCCCTGGACTGGTCCCTCTTCTAGTCCCCTGCTATTGACTGGTCTTCCTTCCAGTCCCCTCCTCTTGACTGGTCTGCCTTCCAGTCCTAGTTCCTGATCTTCATTTCACGGTAACATTGTTCCTCTTCCCTCGGCTCCATTGAGGACACTGTCGCTATAGGTGTCAAAATATAGCCCGACCCGATTAACCCGCCCGATCAACCCGACCCGCAACCCGACCGCAACCCGAATTGACTACAAGTGAACAACCCGTAACCCGCCCGACCCGCAACCCGATTGACCCGCAACCCAACTAACCCGCAACCCGATTAACCCGAACCCGATTGACCCGCAACCTGACTGACACGCAACCCGATTAACCCGAACCCGACTAACCCGTAACCCGACCGACTCAACCCGAATTTCATCTAATCCACTTGAATAATTATAAAAATATACAATACATAGTTTTTCAAAATAAAGTTTTTCATTCTAAACTTAAGTAAAATTATTTTTTCATTTCGTATAAGAAATTTTAAAAATATGAAACTCACTTGATATTACGTATTTTAAGAAAATTACAAAAATTGAAACATGAAGGTCACTTGAGATAATGACAATATTAATATAATATATAAATTAAAATTTTGGTTAATTTAACTATTCAATAAAATTATTAATTAAATATAAATAAAGTAAAGTAATGTATTTGGTAATTTGATGTTTTTAAAAGAAGAGGGAAATTTTGGTGTATTCAAGTTTTTGGGAAAAGAAAGAAGAGGGAAATTTGGTTCTTTGAATTTTTTAGAAAAGAAACAAGTGGGAATTTTGGTGGTTTTGATATGTGGAAGAGAAAAAAGTGGGAAAGTTTGATTCTTTTGATTATGAAAGAGAAATAAGGAGGGAAACTTTTGACTTTTCAACTTTTTGTAGAAGGAAAGAAGAGGGTAATTTTGTTCTTTCAATTTTATGGAAGAGAAAGAGGATGGAAAATTGAGTTTTTCTAAGGCATGGAAGGAGAAATAAGGAGGGAAATTTTAGTATTTTTGTGAAAAAGAAAGAAGGAAACAAATTTGGTGTTTTCAAGGCTAATATGTATATATGTATGTAATTTTTTATGGGCTAATAAATAAATTAACTATTAGTTACAACAATTTATACTAAACTTGATAAGTAATCTTTGACGGTTCGTTGTTTAGGATATAAAGTATATGGTTAGGGTATAAGGTATAAGGTACATATGGTTTAGGGTGTATATGGTTAGGGTATAAGATATTGATGGTTTTGACGGTTCTAAGTTTTTTATTAACATATGTTCACTTGAAGTCATTTGAAGTCTTTAACGGCAGGAGATCCCTTTTTAATTTATGTTTATGTTTATGGTACGTGGTTAGGGTACAAGATATGTGGTGTAAAGTATAAGATATATGGTTAGGGGTATAATGATAACGATGTAATTGCACATATTTGCGCCCCTAGTTCTTATCCGTTTGAGGGGCATAATCGTGTATTGTGGCCTATTTTACGCCGGGTTGTGCTATTTTGTCATGTTTCAGGTCCCAGGTGTCAAAGGGAAGGCTAAGCGCGAGTTTCGGGGCATTCGGAAGTCATTTCGGTGAGCTGGAGCCAAAACACGGGCACACCTAAATCATTACACGGCCGTGTTCTGGTGGCCGTGTTTTTTATGCCGAGAGCTGAGCTGATTACACGGGCAGGGCCAAAACAAAACACGGGCGTGTTCTGCCAAAGCACGGGCGTGTTCCACCAAAGCACGGCCGTGTTTCTCCCAATGCACTGGTCGTGTAATTAACACTAGCCAAAGCACGGGCGGGCTGAGGCATTACACGGCCGTGCCCTCGACCGTGCTTTGGCTGATGCCTTTTTAAGCAGATTTTTCAGCCAAACAGAAGGGGATTCGAGTTTTTGAGAGAGAGAACGATTCCTAGAGAGAGAAAGTGACGAGCAAGAGTTCCCAAGTGCCCTAGATTGATCTTCAACACCATTGGAGGCCAGCTTGAGCTTGGAGAAGTGCCGATCAACGTCCAGAAGCAGGAATCCATCCTTCGCAGTATGAATTCCGTGTCTGATTCTGCTTTTGCTTTCTTCTCTATGGAGTAGTTCTCCCATTCATCTGGGTATGGAGAACCCTAGATTTGTATGTTAGGCTTTGATTGTATGAACCCAAGTACTGATTCTGTGATTGATTATATTCGATTGAGGTTTTAATGATTGAATGACTTGAATCCTGATCAAATTCTTGTTGTTTCTGCTTTAACATAGAATGAGAATATCTGCCTAGGTTAATAGAGTATCCTTGATTGAAGGTAGGGAGTTGGTGACTTTAGTCGAGGAGCCAACTCACTATTCTATACCGGATTTACTCCGGTAGTGGAGGTTTTGTTCTTAGGGCCTCAATCTGTCGACTCTGGTGGAGGTTAGTCGCCCACTAGAGAGTCAGATTGAGAGGGTCTGAAGACCTTTAGTCGAGACTTCAGGCTGTTTAAGAACCTTCCGCAGTATAACTGTCATAGAAACTGAACTTGGTAATTACAATCCGGCTTAACTGCAGTCTAGGGGGAACCATATCCGGGTGACCTCTTTAACCTGAATACAATCGTTTACTTGCTTTGTTAGTTTAGACTTGCATTCAAGTTTCATTGCTAGATAACAAGAATTCACTGAGTAGTCATCAAATCTAGGACCCGGGTTGACATATAAACCTAACCCGCTATACTACGCTTTAGGAAGTGGTTTCACTTGGCCAATTCCTGGAGTGACAGTAGAGTCGAGTCAAGTTTTTGGCAACGTTGCCGGGGAGCGCTAGGTTGTTGAAGAAAAGTGATTTCTGTTAATTTAGCCTTTTTCTTTTTGCTTTGTTTTCTTTGTTCCACTTGTGCCTTCACGGGTTTGTTGCTTGAGTGTGTGCAGGTAGTGCATGACCCGTAGCCAGTCGGGAGGTTTACTGCCGTTGAATCCAGAGATTGACCACACCTGTCGCCAGCTCAGGAGACAACATCGAGCTAGACTGGCTACGGAAGAGCGCATAGACGGCCACCTGAGCAGCGATTCTGAAGAAGAGCACGGGATGGACGGAGACTACAACCAACACCAGGGGAATCCATAGCAGGTTCCCCCGGTGAATCAGGTCCTGGGGAACAACCCCATGCCCCAGGATCATGGAGTTCATCATCCACCGCAGCCGGGTCCCACCTTGGAGTACTACTACGCTCCGCGGATTGCTGACATCCGCCCGGTCATCCTCTACCCGCCGATCCCAGCAAACAACTTCGAAATCAAGCCATGCTAGATTCAGCTCATCACATCCTCGATCCAGTTTCATGGCTTGAAGGATGAGGAGGCCAGGGTACATCTGTCCCGTTTTCTGCAGCTGACAAACGGGTTCAAGCTGAACGGTGTTCCCGATGATGCGATCCGCCTTCATCTCTTCCCCCATTCTCTGGCGGGAAATGCTAAGAGGTGGTTGGAGACCCAGCCCCCATTGTCCATCACCTCTTGGGACGATCTGGCGGACAAGTTCGTGCACAGGTACTATCCGGCATCAAAGACTACAGAGATTCAGCGGGAGATCACTCACTTCCGCCAGGAGCCAGATGAGTCATTCCGTGATGCTTGGGAGCGGTACATGGGCTACTTCTGGCAGTGCCCCCACCATGGCTTTAGTGATGCTTTCACTGTGGGGAATTTCTACAGTGCCCTCTCTCCAGATAGCCAGAGGGTGATTGAGTCTCTATGCGCAGGAGGGGATATTCTTACAAAGACTCCACCCGATCTGAACCAGATGATCAGTACTTTGGCTGCCAGAGATCATTCTTGGGGACAGGGTAGCCGAGGCAGACAGTCCCGGGACCGTGGTGTGCACGCCATGGAGACCAGATCCGGGCTCGAACAGCAGGTAGCTGAGCTAGTGCAGACATTGAAGCAGCCTAACAGTCTGATTCCGGGCAGAGGTTTGGCTACACCTCCAGTTGCTCCGTGTCAGTGGTGTGAGAGCTCCAGTCACCTAGTGGAGGACTGCCAGGCTATGAGGGAGTCTACCACACCCCAGGAGCAGTTGGCCTTCATCGCCAATGCGAGGCGCCTTGATCCATACAGCAGCACATATAATGAGGGGTGGCGCCAGCATCCCAACTTCGCCTGGAGCAGCAACACCACTAAACCACCTGGTTTCCCAGCACCAGCAGGTGGTTTTCAGCAGAGGCAGCCCTACCAGGCTCGCCAGGGGCCAGACCCACAGCAGCAGCCCTACCAGCCTAGGCAGGGCCAGCCATTCCAGCAGCCCCAGCGCCAGTTTGCTGAGCCAGCAGCAGCTCCGGCCCCAGATGACAGGATGACGAAGCTGGAAAACATTCTAGCTTCATTCATGACTAGCACCCAGGCTGCTATCACATCACTGGAGGCAGGTCAGCGGAACCAGGGTGCCATTTTGCAGGATCTGCAGACCCAGGTGGGCATCTTGGCCCGCCAGAGCACCACCAGGGCACCGGGGACTCTGCCTGCCACCACTGTTCCTAATCCTCGAGATCCTCACCAGCATCAGCAGCTGGATGCCATTTTTACCAGGAGCGGTAAGACCATATCTGCTGACCCTGTCCCGGCCAGACAGGAGGAACCACTGCCTGCTCCAGCACTTCCAGCCGACGATGCAGAAGTGCGGGTGGAGAAGGAAGCCCCTGCTCCCAAGCCACAACCAGTGGTTAAGGAGCATGTACCCCAGCTTCCCTTCCCCACTCGCCTACACAAAGACAAGCTGGAGACTGAGTTTGCCAAGTTCATGGCAATGTTGAAGCAGCTCAACATCAGCATACCGTTCATGGAGGCACTGTCGAAGATGCCCAAGTATGCCAAGTTCATGAAAGATATCTGCACCAACAAGAAGAAACTTGGGGATCTCTCGACAGTGATGCTGAGCAAGGAGTGTTCTGCTATCCTGCAGAACAAGCTGCCCGAGAAGCGCAAAGATCCAGGGAGTTTTACTATCCCTCTTACTATTGGCAGCATCCATGTAGGAAAGTCCTTGGCGGACCTAGGCGCTAGCATTAACGTCATGCCATATAAGTTGTATAAAATGCTAGACCTAGGTGAACTTAGCCCTACTAGGATGAGCATTCAGTTAGCTGATCGTTCTATCGTGCATCCTAAGGGTATCATTGAGGATCTGCTTGTTAAAGTAGGTACATTCACATATCCTGTTGATTTTGTTATTCTTGATGTGCATGAGGATGTGGATGTGCCTTTGATTCTAGGTAGGCCATTTCTTGCCACCGCCAAGGCACTTATTGATGTGCATGATGGTAAGTTGATCTTGCGTGCTGGGGATGAACAGGCTACTTTTTCTGTGACTGAGTTTGATCACTGTGCTATGATTGCTGTCACGCCTGTGCATGCTATGTCTGATCAGGTACACGAGCCTGTCGTGTACCCTTCTGCACCTCCTATTTTGCAGGACCCTCCTATCATTCCTTCGCCGCCACTCCATCCAGCCTCGCCTCCGAACAAAAAGCTCAAGGAGGAGTGGCGGCCGAAGCA